AGTTTTTGAAGATCTATTTGCTATCTCCATTCCATAATTTATATGAGATCCAGAAGAGTTTAATTTTAATATTGGTAACCAATAATAAATTTTGATTGATGAAAAAAAAAACAATTTTTCGGATCCTTTTTACTAAGAATTCAAAGTCGAACCACATTATTCAATTGTTAGTGGACTGGTTTGAGGATTTTTTTTTTCTACTTTTATTAACCAAGAATATTTAAAAGATATGAGATCCAGAAGAGTTTATTCTAATACTGGTAAGAAAACAAGATTTTTAATTGATGGAAAAAAACTATTTGTGGATCTGTTTACTGGTTTGAGGATTTTTTTCTACTTTTCTTAACTAAGATATTTGTAAATAAATGTTTTTAGAAACCTATCTACAAATATCTCCTCTTATACTAATAAACTTTTACTTATAAAAAAATTTCAAAAAGGGTTCAAATTATTTATGGAATGAAGACGAAATAGTTGCATTACGTTTATTTTACGTCCCTTGGATTGCGTTTAGCTGAGAGAAATGGCCCAGTAATTGATCTTTGAAGCCCAATTTATTGTGCTGATAAACTGATTTTGAGGGGGATACTGATTTTCTATTGAGACCGTCTTAGAAAATCTAAATGGCTCAGGAGTACTTTTATGAGTTTTGTAAAATTAGTTTAGTGTCAAAATAAATTGTTTTTTAGAACCGAGTAAACCCCATTAACAACGTGTAAAACGATAGCTACAAAGCACTTTCTATAAAAGTGATTAAAAAATAGATTATTGCCAAACCTCAAAGAAGTTGTTCTACTTTGCCAAATCTCAAAAGAGTACTCCGAACCATTCATTTTTCATTTTGCATGAATTGCGTTTAGACCACAACATCACTTCCATTACACTGAACCAGAAAAATGAATTAAAATTATATAAAAAACAAAGTGAACAGATCTTATTAATCTATACTATAAAAGATGACTAACTCTCTCCATATGAGTGTCATCTCATCATTTTGGTTTATTGTAAAAATGACATGTGTCTTTTTTTAAATTTAATGATACAAATTATATAAAATACAATTAATGTATAAATTTAATGGATTATTAATCATGATACCAAAATAATATGAAAATATGAAGTATTAGATAATATATTTTAATAACAATATATACTTAATAACCAAAAATAATTAATAAATATCTATTTTATGGTAGTTTTTAAAAATTATTAAAATATTTATGTTTCTTATTTAAGAGTGTTTTCTTATTTCTAATTAATATCATAAGTTATTATTATAAAAAAATTATACAAATATAAAAATAAAAATGATTTGATATTTTGACCTAAAAAATTTAGACGAAAATGTATACAATATTATAATAAACTTTAAAACAATTTCTTTATAAACTAATAAATATTTGATAATTTATTTTATTCAAACTTAATCCATTAATAAATTTTTTTAATAAGGTATCAAAGTTCTAATATATTTATTTATAAATTTTTAATGCAATTATAAATCAATTATATAAGCTCATACAAATATAAAATGACGGCGTTTCTATTGTGTAAATATGCGCCGTGAACAAATACTATTTATTAAAAAGAGTCGTATCTACCTATGTTGTGCTTGAAAAGTTTCTCTGATTAATTTTTGTTATATAGTACTTTTCTTATTTGCCGTATACCTATTTAATATATTATATATATACAATGTATAATATATTTCATATTTTCTTATCAATAAACTATTTATCACATATATAGTTAATAATCATATAATATGTAATTATATATAGTATGTTTATTCAAATACACAATATTCTTAAAAAAAATTTAAATATATAATAAAATAAATTATAACTAGACTTTTTAATAAATTATATTGTGAAAAAAGATCTGCACATCGCACGAGTACTCATCTAGTAGTAATAAAACTAAAACTCTTCGGTGAACGCGTCAAATAGAAATCTCTGAATAACTACTATAATATAGTTTCTATAGTATATGCGATAAAATAATAAGACTATAAACTAGAACCAAAACGTTGACAAAAAGGGAAAAAATAACCAAAACGAGAGTGGTCCAACACCAAGAAGCCCGCAGCTCAACGTGCTTCCAAGTATTTACCTGGATATATATATGATTATTATTGTTTGTTTGTCTCTCCATACACAATAGTTTTTTTGCTTAATTAGTGTTGTATATTATTATGATCATATACTTCGTGGACATACATAAATTAGTGTTGTCTATAAGAAAAACGCTAAGAATTATTTTTGAAGGAAAAGATTAGCAAATGTTGTCTGCTGGTACTTTTGGGAAATGCAAATTGTTTTAGATGATAGCTTTAGAAGAAAATGCAATTTTTTTTTCTCTTTAGTAAAAAGTTTTGGATTGAGGCTCATATATCATCTTAAACTGAAGGCTAGAGTATCTAAAAATGCATCGTAAACTTACGACTTCACAGTAACAAGGACACTTTTTTTTGTTCGTTTCGTTGTCGCCAGTTCAATTTCACAAATTCGGTAATTAACAGTCATAAATATATAGTAGTATCGATTTCCCATTATCTTTAACTTATCGGACGGCATCATTTGCTTTCTTTGAACATTGATAACTTGCTATCAACATTAAATTGTTTTTTGTTCGTATATAGAGGTTTTTTGTAAGTTGATTATCTGACGACATCATTTTATTTTAAATGAAATATTTATTTACATTTCTTTTTTGTTTGACGTCGTGTAATAAATCACATGCAACGACGCGAGAGGGTCATGTGCCGACATGTGTTAGCTGTTCATTACCCTCCTTCATGCACTCTCTCGTTAATTCCCAACTCCCATTGACTGATCCATCCTTTTCTCTATCAGAAAAAAAAAAGTTTTATTTTAATTTTCTTATAAAATTAATCTCGATCGATGTAAGATTTTAATTATATAACTGTACAGTTGCATGGCTCATCTCTATTCTTAATACTATCCATTTTTAAACTCACAACTCTAATTACATGTCTCATGTCTGTAATTTGTCTGCTTGTGTCTCCCACCAACGTGTCCATGTGGTCGTCTTCCTCATTAGTACTATTCTAAATTCAAATTTAATTATATTCATTAACTCAAATCTGTTTTTCGATTATTTCAAACCTCTCTTTCTCTATCTATCTCTCTCTCCTTTTCACTTGTTTATTTATCTCCATCATCCATTACTCTCACAAAGTCTACCACTAGCTCGAACTCTTCTCTTAAACTTACAGACACAAACTCAATAAGTCACACGTCTATAGCACGATTTGCTCACAAAATTCTGACTTTCAATCACACCTAAGTTTTATAAGCAGAGATCAGTCACTTGCTTGATTCGATATATCAAAATATCAAATCTCCATCGATAGAGAGAGAGAAAGTAGAGGATATGGTTTCGGAGGCGGTTTCAAAGACGGAATCACCACCGTTGATTATTGGACCTCGTATTTCCTTCTCAGCTGATTTATCCGACGGTGGAGATTTCATATGCATCAGCCCCGTACAGTGTAAAGAATTAGAGAAAGACGTCGTCAAAGGATCGGTGAAAGTCGCCGACTTTGAGTTCTTGTCGGAGAATGTGAGTCCACAGAGGATGCTTACCGCCGACGAACTCTTCTCCGAAGGAAAGTTGCTTCCTTTCTGGCAAGTAAAGCACTCAGAGAAGCTTAAAAACATTACACTGAAGACGAGCGAAGGAGAAGTAGAAGAAGAGAATCGTAAAGTGGAAGTGACGATGAAGGATAAAGATCAGGAGAGTCATAATGACAACAACAGAGTGAGCTGGTTCATAGACGAAGATCCATCCCCTCGTCCTCCGAAATGCACAGTGCTTTGGAAGGAGCTTTTGCGGTTGAAGAAACAGAGGAATTCGTCGTCTTCTTCGTCGGTGAGGACCGTGTCGTCGCTGTCTCCGTCGTCTTCCACGTCGTCATCGAGCTCGCTTGAGGATGCGGCTGCGAAGAGAGAGGAGAGAGAGAGAGAAGGGAAGAGAGGTAAGAAAGGACTAGAGAGGACGAGATCTGCGAGTATGAGGATAAGGCCGATGATTCATGTCCCTATCTGCACTCCTTCTAAGTCCTCTGTTCCTTTGCCTCCTCTGTTTCCGCTTGCGCTTAAGAAAAACAGAGTAGAGAGACGCACTTGAAAAGTTCGAATCTATTCTTCGATTGACACATTGATTTGTTCCGATTCTCTTGTGTTTCGGATGTATTTCTCTGTTTTGTTAATCTCTGTGGGTTGAGATCTAATGGGTAACAGTGTTAAGTGTCAATAAATTCGAGTAAGATCTGTTCCTCTGTTCTTCATCTCCATTTTTTTTTGTCCGTTCTTTCAGGATCCAGAAGTATTTGAATAATCAAAAGATGAAAACGTGATTAGATTTGTTGTATGTTGAGATGTGAAATGTGCGAGACAAAGAGTAAATGTCAAAAACAAAAATGATGAGCAGAGGAGTAATCTGTTTGTTAGTTAATGATGAGAAAGGGAGTGATGAAAGACTGATGGGCACATGCAAGATTCAGATGTTTTCTTGAATTTACTCTTCTCTGCACCAATTGATTCTGCCTCACCATTTTGGAAGTGGGCTCCACTTTTGCAGGCTACAGCTCTCGTTATTCACATTTCTCTCGTACTCTCTTGCTACATACATCTTACTTAGCATATTGATAGGTATAGATCAAAAGAATGGATCTAATGAGAATCATCACTGACCTCCTCAACAAGACCGATTTGTAATCAGTGGAAAACACATAAACCCCATTTATCACAAGATTCACAATAAAACAATGATGTATCTCTTTCATTACACAACATATGCAATCAGTAAATTCCCTTATCCGGTTATCCTCCCCGAGAGTGTTAAAAGAATGAAGCACTAAGATATATATATGTTAAGCAGAGTGTACACGTGAGGCTTCTAATTTACACACAAGCTCTACAAAACTATAACACAAACTCAACTCCTTGTCGTCTTCTTCTTAAAAGGCCGAATCAGCGTGGCGGCTGAGTCAAAAAGGGATTACCAGAAGTCCTGAAGTATCAAAGAATCAGAGTTGTATTTGTATTTAGCCGGTTCAAAAATATATGAGACATAGTCAGATTTGTATGGTGAAAGCCACTCAGGGAAATTTTGTAGCTTACCTCAGGTCAAGTCCTGGCTTTTGAAACAGACTGCTAGGAATTTGGCCAGTTAGGTTATTGTTTTGCAAGAACCTAATCATCCACACAACATACATAGCTAAGTCAGAAATTCATGCCCATGGCAAGAAAATGGCGACAATGCAATGATGTGTATAGAAAACATATTTAAGTTCAAGTTTTCTCATTTTGTGGTTTAGAATGAAGTAAAGCTATGGACCTGAGAATATAGTGGTGTAGTGCACTGTTTACTATGGCCTTGGAATCTTAAAAAGTAAAGCTAAAAGACAAAAGAGCGGAGGCCAAAAAGAAAGTGCTAACTGTTGTATTACTGAATGAATATTCTTTTCCATCGACAAGGCAAGAATCTTGAGCAGAAGAACTTATTCTAGAGAAGCATTCAAACCAATACTCAAAGAACCGTATACAGTAATATGAGAACAGAAACTTACAGCTCTCGCAAGCGTGGCACTCCACTGAAAAATGAAGGAATAGCTCCACTGAAACGGTTGTCTTCCAAGTGCCTACAGGACAAAAAAGCATGAGATTAGCTTATGCCAAAGAATGGATCCTCTCGTCATTGTCAGTCGCAAATTTGCAGCACGAGCAGTGAAATAAAAGAGTAATCAGCTTACACTGACTCCAGCAATTTGAGTGAACTGAAGTTAGGTATACTTCCCGAGAGAGAATTGTTTCCCAGCCAACTGTTCAAAACACACTAATATCAATTGATGTTTTTGAGGTTCAAGCATATAATCAACTAACTGTTTCATTGGTCAAGGTACTTACATGGAGGACAATGCTGTTAATTTTCCAACTTCAGGTGCTAGCGAACCAGAAAGTCCCATACTAGTCAAGTTCCTGTGAACAACAATGGATTAGAAAAGTATCAGTAATTCTCATACTGAAGCATAAAAAATAAACACAGACGACACAATATGGCAAAATTCCAACAACTCACAAAGCTACTATGCGAATTCGGGGGCCTTCAGAGCAGGTAACTCCAGACCACGAGTAGTTTTTAGGCATACAAGGATCCCCGCTCCAATCAACTGGTGCGTTCTGGAAACTGCTTTTAATAGCATTCAGAGCAGTTACTGCACAAGGAAGAAGAACACACAAAGTCAGCAGTTAATGGCTCATCAAACTACTAAACAAAAAACAAATTTCAACCATTGAGTGTTGCTAACAGTCGTACCATCTCGAACAAGCGTCTTCCCTCCAAGAGAGATCAGCTCAAACATTTCACCACCATTGATCAGAGGGGGAAGGTTTGAACCACTTCTAGGACTTAGAGTTAACGTTGTGAGACCTTCAAGAGGCCACCTGCTTGCAAAGATAACCGCACCAGCTGGAGTGACAGACAGCTCTTTATAGTACGTTACACCATTCACAGAAACATCAAAGACTCTGGATCCATCTCCCAATGAGTCAGAATCATGGGCAAAGTATAGCGCAATGTAATAAAAGGACTTTGTTAAGGGCATTGGGGGCCACGTGAACTCCAAAGGCTGAACCTGAGTAGCTCTTAGATCTGTGTTGAATATCCTCGAAGGCGGAAGGTTCCAGAAACCAGAAACTTCTATTTTCCGATTGTTCGGTACGGTCGAGTTCAGCGAATAAGGCTCCCAAAACCTATCAAACTCATCATCTGGAAACCTGAAAGCAACATATATTTGGAAAGATTCAACCTTTAGACTCTCTCTCAATGGGCTTGGATAGATAACAAACACTAATCTTTTAAGTGCATACAAAAGCGAAGTTACCTGATGATTGGTCCGCTGTATCCAAAAGCATGCCTAGCAACAAGACTTAGCCCAAGAGTGCTGAAGTCGGTGGAATTGTAGAGAGTACCATCGAGCCTGACGAGCTCCAAGGCTGAGATAAATGGGTTCGAAGTGGTATAAGAATTGGAAGCAATGCAGACGCTTATGGACTTTCCCTGCGCCAGAAAAACCCCTTCGTAGTAAGAAGCCAGGCCGTCGGCGTAATCGGCGGTGGTATTCACGACTCCCCAAAAAGTCCCGTCGACAATCTGGTCGAATACCGGCGGCGGAGTACCTTTTCCGTTTACTCCTCCGTAGTAATAAGTCGTCCTGATCATGTACTTCCAGCCACGGGAGACGCCAACCACGTAGCAAAACTTGCGACGAGTGCCATCGAGGTCAAGCGGGAAGGATCTGGCGGTAAATAAGATTTCGTCGAGCACTTGATCGGAGACGTTCATGGGTGTTCCACTGGAGACGAAATTCTCGTCGGATTGCCATCTCCGTCCGTCGATTACAGATGAGGCGGAGGCGCCGCAATCGATCAGAATCGCTAAATTCGAAATATCAGAAATCGGAAATTGGAAGGAGATTGCAGATACGAATACGCAATGGAACAAAGAGAATGAGAGGTAAAGGTGGGAATACCTGGGGGAGGAGAGGTCTGAGAGAGAGAGGAAGAGACGAGAGAGAGCACGGCGAGGAGAATGAGGCGGAGATGGGACATGGCGGCGGAGACGGTGGTTGGGAAGCAGTTAGCATAAGAGGGAAAGGAGAAAAGGGGTTTAGGTTGGAAGAAGGAGGGGTTGACCCTCCAGCTCCAGAGATTAGGAATCAGAAAAAGCAGAGAATTAGAGGAACAGGTCAGAGGAAGGAGACGAAGATGTGTTTATTTGTATTTTGGGGAAATTTGGGATTTTGCCTCTTTCTTTCTTTTTTTCGGTTTTCTTCAGAAAGTAATTATTATCTTATTCCGTTATTTCTGTTGCGGTCTATGTGATAAATTGGGAATTAAACCGGCGGTAAAGTCTATTTATCATTCAGTATTCTTTTGGTTCGACTTAGGCTCAGTTAGCAGCATTTTCATATGGTAATGCGGTTTGAAAAGATTTATGCTGTAAGTGAATTGCAATTTTTAGGAATGAAATTATGTGGAATTGAAGATTTTATAAAATTGTTATTAGTTACAAGGAAAGAAAATGAAAAATCATTTCACAAAGAAAAAAACAAATCTTTTTGAAAAATTATTTCACTTCAAAAATAATTTAGAATGAATGAAATTCCATTTTCATTCCATTTTATATTTTTTTTATTTCACATAAATTTATTCTATTTATTTCTTATATTTCAATTTGTTAAAATCAGTTACAGCCTTAATCAAAGTTTTACTATTTTCAGGCTTAGTATTTACATCTTTCAAATTCTTGTATTTTGTTTTTGTTGAAGAACTATCATGTATATCTTTTCAATCTGGAGATGATGTATATATACCTCACTCACTTTTCTTTGCTTCCTCAATGCAAATTTGCATTAAAGCTTTTGATGCAAAGCGTGTTCTTGCCTCTCGCAAGATTTCATTTCACAGTGCTCCCCATTAATAAATTTTTTTAAAAAAATGGTGGTTCTCTTTGCATTTTGTCCAAAGCTCTCTCATACACGTCTACTTTGTGGCCGACCACAACGGTCCAAAAAGTCTCTAAAATACTATTAATTTATTTAGTGCAATATAGTTAGATTAATAATACAAACTATATGCAGTTTGAGATGTTGTTACTTGTTAGGATAAGCAGAGCTGTAGAAGGATCGCGATGCTAAGACAATGATAAATTTATTCACAAACGTTAACTATGATAACTACAGTCCAAATCCAATTATATAATTCCGTACCGTTCTTCACAAAATCAGTTTTGGTTCTAAGAAAAGTTTTAGGCATTTTACGTATACAACAAGCAATCTAAACTAAAAAACAAATGACTATGAGGTGTTGACAAAATTTAAAGCATTTTGTTCTAGAGACATGTTTTTTTCCAAACAACCTTGAACTCTTGTTGTATTGATATGATGAGATTACATGCTATATACATATTAGAGTTACAAGAATCCCTTATATATTAAAAGAGAAGCATTTTTAAAGAGAAACCTTAAATTTGTAAAATATTACAATGATACCATTTTGCTGATGTGTCAACCTCATATTCATTCTCAGCTATTTTTTAAAAAAAGACTTAGATTATTAGACTAATTACATGATATGCCATTGTATATTTTAGGTCCATAAATATGTTATATTTTATTTTTTTAAATAAATTCAAAGGCAATAATATTAGAATTAATAATTTAATAAAATAAAATTTATTTAATACTAAATATAATATACATGAAATTTATTATATAATATTTTAAAAATACTATCTATATATTTTTTATTATAAATTTATAATAAAATATATAATGTTTTTTTAATATTTAATATTTTTATCATTCATAGTAAAATATATAATACTTATTTATGCTTACTACTTTTAAAAAAAATATTTTTATTGATTATTTATAAAACAAAATTCTTATAAAAACAACTGAAAAATTAAAAAATAATATTTTATTTTTCTCAAATTCATAACAAATATATAACACTTTACTAATATTTACTACTTTTAATAGAAAATATGTTTATTAATTATTTATTAAAAATATTTTTATAAATACGACATAATAATTAAAAATAATATTTTATTTTTCTCAAAAATATGTTTATTAATTGTTTACTAAAAATATTTTTATAAATACAACAGAATAATTAAAGATAATATTTTATTTTCTCAAAAATCAATCAGAACAAATAAAAGAAAATCATAATGATTTTATTCACATATTGTTATAATTATAGCATGCATGAAAATAACTGTAAAAATATATATAATATCTTTTAACAATTCATAATAATATATACAAAATATAAATTAAAAATATATGTTATTTTTATCACAAACATCAATTAACAAGAAAATGATGAATTTTCAAAATTATTATGATATATATTATTTAATATTCTGATTTACTATATAAGGAAATATGATATATTGCATTATGATTTAATTTATATTTGATTCTTAGATGACAAATATGGTATATAGCATTATTGCTTACTTTTTTTTGGCAAGAGATCATAATATGATAATATCAATATTAATTGTTTATTTTTTTAATTAATGTTTGATTTAACATATATAGTATCAAATTTTCAGCAAGATTTGTTCATGTTTTTTTTTCTTAGTTTGTCTGTTTTAAATCAATCAATTTAATTACTGTGAAAATTATATAAATTGATAATATTGTGATTTCAATATTTTCTTAATTTATAAAATTATCGGTTTGGAACTAAATAAATTATTTATTAATAATTAATTAAAAATTGTATTTGTTTTAAAAGTTAGTAATATCTTTAAATACTTCACTTTTAAATTGTAGATAAACCATAACATTATTTCAAATTAAAAAAAACAAATCATTATATATTCATATTTTAGTAAATGATCATAGTTATATTTTTATATAAGATTATTTTATGGTAATTATTAATTTATGATATTAATGGACCATATATTTAAATAGATTTTTTTTAAAAATATTATCTTATCGATTTGTATCATATTTTGAATAAGTCCAATTTGGGACTAAGAAAATGTTTTAATTTATTTAATTAATAATATTTAATAGATAAGTAATAAACTATTTAACTAATAGTATTTAATTATTTAAGAGTCAACATTAATTAAATATGTACATAAACTGTATATCCAAATCTTGGACATCGGTGAAAATAATGAATAATATCATCAATTACAGGATATTAAAAATCTGTATGGTAACTTCATATTTTTTACCTATCTATATCATGTGTTATGCATGCTACTTAATTTTTAAATTAATATACATTACTATTACATTTACATTATCTTTGTATAATATTATATTAAATTTATATTAATTTAATTATATTATATTATATGATTTTAAAATTATATTAAATATAAATAAATAACAATTATTTTACTCCGCACAGGGTGCAGGTTATTACCTAGTTATATAATAAATGAGGACAATATATTATGGAGTGTAAAGAATCAATGCTTTAACGTCTACGGCTTTGCGGAGTGTAACATCTCTACGGCTTAAAATATATTCTTTTATGATTCTATATGAACATGTTACACTATGCAAATAATTTCGTTTTTAATATAAAAAAGAATTTATTAAATTCAGTGCTTTGGTTGATTTTTGTCATTGTACGGTACAGCATTTTACCAATTCAAGGCAACGGTCTCTTCATATGGGTCAAATCAAGCTTAATCGCTAAATATTACGAGAAGAAAGCATGTGGGAGATAGAAAACTTTAATAAAGTTTGTAACACAACCGAAAAGAAACTTAAAACACCAGAAAGTAAATCGCTTACATGATCAATCTCCTAGATGAGATGTGGCAGATAATAATATGGTACACTTCTTGCTGATCTTTTGGAGAATGTCTCATACTCAATCCTATTGCCTTCAGGTTCTAACGACTGAGAACGACCGAACAAATTAGCATCTTCAGATCTCTCTTGAGGCATACGCTTTTTAATCTCCTCAAGAGCCTCATCTCTAAAAGCTTTTCCTTTTGTCCCCGATGAGTCTCCTCTAGTAAGGTCTACACTCGCTGCTAAAGTCAGCTTTGAAGCCAAGAGCTCACAAGCATCGGACCTAAATTCCGGAGGCGTGTTTAGGACAATCTCTGTTTTCTCCAAACAACCCGCAAGGGACCCAGCAAAACTCCTCTTCCTCTTCCGACCAGCGAGTTGTGATAAACCTCCAGCACTTACCATGATCTTGGCTGCAATTTTGCTCCCGACAATCGCAGACAGATTCGGTGCGATGCATCTCATCGTAGTTTCAACAATGTCAGTGATTTTCTTCCTCGAAGAATCAAGATCAATTGCTCGATCACACGCCTCTATCGTCTTCTCGAGAACATCTTTTTGAAGTGGCTCTCCACTTGCTTTTGGATCACTAAGCACAAGATCTAGGATCGTGCGTGGTGGAAGAAGATCTTTTAGATCAACTAGGGCTAAATTCATCTCATTGCCGATTCTTTTAACAACACGAGCATAATCGATTGCGTCATGCACAAGCAACGCCACATTCCAGAATTTAAGTCTGTAATTGTGACGGATAAAGTTGTGGATCATAGCAATTTCATTCTCGATTTCAACCAAGAGCTTATTGCAGTCGGAAACTAGCTTGTACTCAGAATCTAGAACCTCTTCCACTTTCTTCATAATATCAGAAAATCTCCGAGTTTTCTGGAGCTTAGAGAGATCATCGTAGTTAAGGGTGTTAACAATAGTCTTGTCTTCTTCCTCTTTTTGAGCATCATTCTCTTTTGTGTCGGTTTCATAGTCAGATAACTCATCAAGGTCTGCGAGCAAATCTTCAAGAGTTGCCATGTCGAACGCAGAAGAATCTCACTGTCAAAAGAAAGAAAAAAATATTATTATTTCAGAGAAAGCTTGAGAGTTGAGATTTGATTGAGGACAAGGGATTTATGAATTACCATAGATATATATAAAGGAACGAATCCTCAACCTATCCGAAATTGTAAAGGAAAAAAGGAAAATAGTAACAAGAACAATATCGAAATCTACCTATTCAGTTTGGAAACAGGAGGACCCTAATTTTGTAATTTTGCCTTATTTCAGGTTTTTCCCTTTTTGGGAAATATTGTAAAGTGTGAAAAGTCGAGGGAAAGAAAACTTTAGAGCGACTCAAAAATGAATTTGGTCTCTTTTAGTTCTTCTGAATACAAAAATATTACATATCTTCTTCTTGATGATGAAAAGGGTTCTCAATCCCGAATCTAGAATCGTCCTACATAAGAAAATAACTTCAAAAACCCGGGACCAATTAAAATAAATGTATTACATGTTAGATTTGCATAAGTTACATTGGCAAGAAGAACATCTAAATACTTCTAAAAAACTCACACAGACACGTAGAAGAAGAGACCAAACTCAACTCAGATCTCACCTCATCTTTCTCACTTTCTTCTACTTCCATTGGAACTTTGAGCTCTAGAGTCAGATGAGGAACAGGTAAAAGAGTATCTCGACCTTTTCTTCTTATGAGTACTCCACTTGAATATTGCCTTTCCATCATTCTCTTCTCCTTCTTCATCTTCTTCTTCTTCTTCAGACTTCTCTACTCTCTGTTTCCTACTCATCTCCTTTGCTCCTTCTTCTTCTTCCTCCTCTTCTTCCTCCTCCTCGCTCGTCCCATCACTCACCGTTTGGATAGGTTCTATCGCTTTTTTACTCGTTGGTGTTCTCTTATTGCTTGAGTTCCCCTCTCTCCTCTGTTTTATAGAGATATTTGACATGTCTTCTCCACTCTCCACGGCTTTCATCCACTGTACCTCGCTTAGTGAGTCGCTATAAACGATTTCTTTACGTTTTCGCTTACCTGTGACACTCCCAAAATGGTATTTTGAGCTGTTCGACTTGTCATCTTGGTTCTGTGTAGTGTATGCCCACTCAGGGACTTCCTGCTCTTGCATCAGACGGGCTCTGTAATTCTCCTTTCTTCGTCTCTCCTCATCCATTCGCTCAAACATCCAAAATTCATCCTCGCTACGAGCCGCGAGCCGGTTTATTTCTCTCTCACTGGGGACATCGGTCCCGAGTGAGCTTGTTCCTTTGCGCATGATCTCTTCAAGCATCTCTCTTCTGTCTTGTGCTGTTAATATTATAACCACAAAAACCCACATCAAGATATAACCATTTCGATATATACAATCACCCATTTGTTCCGGAGAGACTTACCCGTGGAAGTTGTGTTGAATAGTCCAGCTTGTATGACTTTGGCATCAATGCCCATCTTTTGCTTTGCACGCTCCAATATCACTTCTTCAATCGAACCAACGCTAACTAAAACAAACACTCTGACTTCCTTCTTCTGTCCTATGCGATGGGCTCGATCCTCGGCCTGTTGGTCCATTTGTGGGTTCCAATCACTGTCAAAGATAATAACAGTGTCTGCAGTCTGCAAGTTCAAACCGAGACCTCCGGCACGCGTGCTCAGAAGAAACATGAAGTAGGGAGAGTCTGGCTCGTTGAATTGCTTCAGTAAAAGCCCTCTTTGATCTGTCTTTGTGGTACCATCGAGCCTGAGGTACTTGAAATCATTAAGTGTCAAATAAATCTCGAGAACATCAATGAGACGGGTCATCTGGGAGAAGAGAAGAATTCTATGCCCGGCCTTGCGAAGTTTTGGAAGGAGGCGATCAAGGAGCTCAAATTTCCCTGAAGCTCTCACAATCTCTGGTTTCTTCCACATGTTGTACTCTCCTCCAACAAATAGATAGGGATGGTTACAACACTTTCGTAACTGCATCGTAAGATTTTGCAGACTCTTTGATTTCCCAGATCCTGCACATGACGATTACGTTTGCATAGACTCAGCTTCACTTTCTGATTCATCTACTTTACCTTAAAGATGAGTGCAAAATTTTGGAGAGATAAGTTAAGCTACAAACCTGTTTGAAGGCCAACCCTGCCCATGTCTGTAACTTGTTTGTAATACACTTTCTGCCACGCCGACATATCACACTTCAGTATGACCTGTGTCTTTCCAGGAAGGAATTTCTCTACTTCGTCCTTTTTCCTTCTCAGTATAAACGGTCTTATAACCTGTGAAAAGTGACAGAGTTATACATTGAAACACTGCTTATGTAATTTGGTAAGAAATTAAAGGAAATTTAGGTGCAGAAACTCACATGATGCAGACGGTGGATAATTAACAACTCCTCTTCATCGGTAAGACTGACATTAGCACGATCAGCGAAAGGAGCATTAAACCATTCCTCGAAGTTCTGAACCGAGTTGAAAATGTGAGGAAGGAGAAAATTAAGCAATGACCATAGTTCTTGAAGGCTGTTCTGTATGGGTGTCCCCGTTAAAAGAAGTCTGCGTTTTATCCGATAGCTGCATCCAGGATTAGAAAATATTGTCAAATTCCTCGGAGCATTCTTGAGGAGATAAACCAGAGTAGCCATAAAGATAACAGTCAGCTAACATCATTCACTACAGAAAAATTATATAGAGATATGTACCCTGTTAGTAGAGTCTTGGCGAGAGCAGATTCGTGGTTCTTCAGCCTATGTCCTTCATCAACAATCATGTAGTACCAGTCAATTTTCTTCAAAAATGCTTTATCTCTCATGATAAGATCATAGTGTGTTATCAACACATTGAATTTTCCTTCTCCAGCAATCTTTTCCCTTATTGCTTTTCTTTCCTCTAAACGTCCATCATATAGGAAAGCTGCGATGCTGTCAAAGAGCAGAATGGAAAATATTCAGATTCATACCAGTGGAAGTGCCCAGAACCAAAAGAAGAACAGTTTGCCACATACCTTGGTACCCATGTAGCAAACTCATTTACCCAGTTTGGTAGCACAGCTTTTGGAGCCACTATCAGATAAGGCCCAGGCACACCTTTATTCTCCAGAAGATAAGCAATCAACGAAATTGTTTGGATAGTTTTTCCCAAACCCATCTCATCAGCTAAAATTCCATTGAGGTTATTGTTGAATAAAGAAACCATCCATTGGAGCCCTTCTAACTGGTAGGATCTTAGTTCCCCACCTTGTAGAAGGGAAGGCTGCTCCGACACCTGTTAAAAGAACATATTGCTCCTTAAATCAATTGGTCTCAGAGATGGCAGTGGTTTAAGAATGAATCGTCCTGCTACTAAATGTAACATAGAGATCAACATTACCTTCTCTTGTATTGAATGGATAGCAGAGTTATACTGCCTCTGGCCTTGAAGTAAATCATTAGAGTCATCATTATTGTCAGATTCAGTGATATCAATATCCTGATCAGGAAGTAGATCCTGCAATGCTTCACTTCTTGGAGCATCAAGTTCAGATAAATCAGATTCTGAGTCTTTCAGTAGATCAATGCCTTCCGGAAGTTTAGCATCTTTCTGACGCTGAACAGCAGCTCCCAAATTAGTAAGGAGTTTGTTAGTCTCCTCTAGAAGAGTGGTTAGCCGTTCGTTCTTACTCTCCTTTACTAGTTTCATGTATGCCTCTTGATCATCAGATTTAAGGGCCATCAGCCTCAATTTTTCAGCACGCGTTGCACGTTGTCTTTGTCTCCCATGCCACGCCTGTTAAATAATGTAGATACAAAGATCTCTTTTTAGAAATTTGTACATTGAATATATATTAAAGGACAACTGAAATACCTTCACAAATAACTGTAAGTTATATCATACCTGCACACCATCATTTCTCTGCCTACGGCGTTTTTGAGTCGCCTGAATTTGCAACTGGAACTCACGGACTGCATTAAGTACTTCTGCAAAGAATTTCCTCTTGGCGGTTTCAATCAGATTCTTCTCTTCTTCTTCTAAACGTGATAACCTCTGAGAAAAGAGATTGAACATATCAGCAATGCAAAGCAAGAAGGTCGAAAACTACAAATAACTTATAATGTCATACGCACTAGAGACTGTCTACAGTTTTCATTCATTTCTACAAAATCCATCTCTAGATAAGTTCCAAACAAAGCAGAAGAATGTAATAATATATATTTACACATGCCTATTTATCCTGCTAAGACACATGAGCCATAGTTCAAAAAGGGCATTTATGCCACTTCGTTGGGCGACTTCATGATCTAGTGTTAAAATACAAAATCTGGGAACAGAGAAAGTGCACCAGAATAGCTAGTTGAAGAAAAGGTGAATACTGACCTCAGCATCACGCTTCTTTCTGAACTGGTCATCAGCTTCCATAGCAAAAGGATCTCCAACTCCATAAAATGGACGAGGCAACCGCATCATCCCCCAGTCAAATAGTTGGCTACTGACATCAGCACAGTTCATACGTAGCCAGAACTCCGAGCTCACCTCGGCTCGAACCTTGCCTTGCAATTCTCGTAGCTGCGACTCACCAAGGTAAAAAAAAGTGTCAATGCCAAAGATATCACAATTCAAACAAACGTCACGTAACAACAAAGATCACTGAGAGAACATTTGGCGGCGATGATACCTTCAGCCCATAAAGCTCAAGTAAGCATTTTCCTTGCAAGTCTTCGCCTCTAGTGGAAGGTAATTCTGATATAAACACAAGACACCAACATCATCAGCAGGTGCATCTCTCTTGAACAATAACATATGGGTCTATTGTCCAGAAAATAGTTCATAGTGGTTTTGAAGACACAGGAATCACAAGTTGCGATCATTAGAAGTACTTTAGGAGAATAAAAACCGATGTATTAATAACCTTCAAGTTCAGATAAGCGGCGTTGGATAAGACTCTTATTCCGAGTATCAAGTAAATCAGTCAATCGAGAGCCCGAATCACAGTTTGGTCTCTGCTTCAAAAGTGCATCCTCGAACTCACCCATCAAATCACCTCCAAAAGGAGTTAAATTATTGCCCTGCAACACAAAAAACCAAGCTTTTGTAACATAAAGCAACAACCTTTAGAGTCTAATGGACAAACAAAGCCACTGAAAACATGTAATTTCGCAGGAAAGTAGAAAAAGGAGAAGACTTAGAACCCACAAACTCTAAGCAAATGCTTAAGAAAACAAATCACAGGACCACAAAATCAATTGAACCCCAAAAAAGGGGCAAACGGAATATCTAGGGCGAGGGTCGAGAGAGAGAGAGAGAGAGAGAGAGAAGGAAAGGGAGAGAATTGAAGGGCTTACAGGCGGCGAAGGAGGCGGCGGAGAGAGGCGGTCTGGAGAGAGAGAAGAAGAGGCGCCATGGTAGATTGAGGAAACGGCGGCGAAGAGGTGAGGAGGCAAAGGGAGGTCGCGAGAGATGTAATTGAGAGCACAGATCAGAGACTTGGTCGTCTCCACTGGATCCTCTTGAGAATTGCCGCTTAGCTGCTGAGCCACCATGGCGGGAACTTGTATGTTGTATCCGCCTTCGATTTCAACTATCAAAATTGATATTTTTTTTTTGTTGAGTGTTTGGTTTTTTTTTTCTTTTCAGTTGTCTCAAACCCCTCTCTCTCTCTATATCTCTCTCTTTGCCTTACACACACACCCGAGAGACCGAGACAAAAGATGAGACGGAGAGAAATTGGAATCTGGTTTACGAATCCGTGATAGGCCACTCACCAAACACCCCCCTTCCTTTCTTGTTAAATTTACACAATTACCCCCCTCACCAATCCCTCTTAATGGGCCATGTATAAGGCCCATTTCTTATCTATTCGTTTATCTGCTGCCTAACAGTTGTGGTATCTCTATTGGGCTCTCTGTTGGGCTTCAAAATGACTTCCTGCTAATAATAATGTATAGTAGATAGAACACCTTCGAGGAGTTTGTATCCACAAAATTTGGTATATGAAAAAATTGAAAGAAATGACTATACATTTGTATTTTTTTGTTTTCCTATAATTTCATTTCAATTTTTTTTAACATCAGCAATCACATTTGAAAGAAGTGACTATGCATTTGTATTTGTCTCGTTCCGATTAAATGGAGCGTACCGTTCGGGTAGGTCACACAATAATCTGGACCACTTTAAACCAAAATTTTGAAATTCTTATTGAAGCACGTGTTGACGCACGTGCAATCCCCCTTTTGAACTTTTGCTTGTTTGTTTGTTTCTGTACCGATTCCAAAAAAAAAAAGATGGTAATAAGACAACACCGACAATTGTAGATGAGTAATCAATCTCTCAATTCGAATTTCTAAAATTCTATAATTTAAAAAGATTAGTATCATATAGTAGTAGTAATGAGTTGGTCACGTTTTGTGTTCGTCTCGGAAATCGTTATTTGATTGCTATTGGGAGATGTTGTTCCCTATAGATTCTCTGTCCCGTTTCCTTCCGTTGTGAATCACACAACTTGTTATAATATGGACACATGCATGCGTGTATATGAACACATGCATATCATTAGATCAATCTTTCAATATCCCAATTGTTGTTGTTGTCCACTTATGAAATATTCGTGCTATCTTGTAAACTTTTCATTTTTTTAGGCTAAGTGTTAATACATATAATAACTTTAAAAAAAAAATGTTTCGAAGGATCCTTTGTTCTAGTAATGGAATAGATCGATGTCATGACTGTGTTTGTTCGTTGGAATCACTATTCTTATCCAAACTAGCTAAGCATTTAAAAATAAAACCCCATATAACGTGACATCTACTTTGTGAAAGTTATAGTTTGCTTGGATGAAATGTGAGTGAGACAATAGTTCTGGATGAGAATGATATTTTCATGTGGATGTCATGCTTTCAACAAAAGCAAAGGAGACAAACAATAACTCTATGTGGCCAATACATAAAATTCTATATATATTCTTTCTCCATCTAAATATATATGTGAACCGTGTTAACCAATAGTTCATATACATGTGTAAGCATTGCTTATATATAATCTCAATTTATATATTAATTCGTAGTCAGAATTTTAAAAGTTTAAGGAGTGGCTCATAAAGGTTCCACTAACATATATAGTCAAAAAGATGGTTTTTTGCTTATGCAAATCATTTTGAGCCATGAGATGTACACTTTGTTTTAGCATCATGTGTTCAGATTCGGTATAGCGTTCAAGTAATTTTGGGATGATTAAATTTTGTTCGAAACATTTTTATATTTTTCTTGGTAAATTCTTTTCGAATAAGTAGGAAATTCAGAAAGAACCATATTATCCGAAAGAAGAAGTTGGATCTTTGTAAAGCGCTGAAAAATAAACGCTTTTATATATGCCAACACATCAAGATTAAAGATGCATAGTCTTGTTTTACATTATAACCACACTATTGGTAGTTTGGTACATACTTCAAAACGTAAGGCTTAAGTTTCTGTCTCCACTAAATTTCAAGTGGTATGACGTATTCTTTGCCTTTAGATCCTCCATTAGTTGAAACAAATAACTAATATTGATGGATAACGATTCGAGTTTCACTCTGTAATTTTTTTTTTTTGTGTGTGTGGGGTGCATATCATGGGGGCTTGTGTGACATGACAAGTCAAATTATATTCGTATATAAAATTCTCATACTTTTAATTTGCTTGTGTCGCCTGTCGGTATTCGCTTAATAATTGTAAAAACTTAATTAATATAGTAAAAGCATCTTTATGTAATAGGACACAAATCAAAAAGTAAAGCATGATCGTTTGGTGCGGCCAAAGGTTGCTATATATGCTACTTTCTAATTCATTTCTATGCGTTGGTTCGAAATCTAGGACCACATGTGTTGATCAACGACTCGGTTTATGTTGATTTATATTTGTCGACAGATTACGTCTGCAGGTCAGCTCCTTTTTTTCCACCTTTTCTTGATTAAATTATGTCATAACTTTTTACTCTCATGCTTACGTTATAGAATCCTCCATTTTTTAATTATTTTTTATTACTCATTCCAATAGTGTATCAAACTAAATGATAAAATCATTTCATTCTTGATTCCTTCATGAAAGGAGTGTTGGGTTGTGGAGCGTAATTTTCCGAACTTAATTACTGTGTTATTCGACGACATGGCTTCACAGTAATCTGTAATCGTCATGTTCGTTGAAGAGTGATATCATTTAGGATATAGTTCGTTGCTATAATAATTATAATTTTCTTCTTTCCAATATGATGAAATTTCCGGCTTATCATTTTAGACATGAAACTTATATTTATTATACTCGATATCCTCTTTTATTTCGTGGACTTTGATACTATATTACTATGTAACTGTTAGTAAGTAATGAACGGATAAACAATGAAGTTGATTCAAAAGAAATTGGATTTATATATTTCACACACACAAAAATGATAAGAATGATAGTTTACTCATGCGATTAAACAACAAGAGAAATATGTATCCTCACATTTTTACTATTCAAATAACTGATCATCTTTGCATCTGCTTGGTATTTATGCGGGTACACTAATCCTGATTCACACACACTGAGTAATGCGTGATGATCCACTTGGAACGTATTGTAAAATGTTACTAGTACTAGAAGCTGAGTACTCGTTTTTGAAAAGAACTTAATAAGAAAAAAAAGGAAAAAAAAAACTAAGACCTACTTGCCCTATATAATACATATCTACGGTATCTTCGTATCAAACCACTCCTGCATGGTTTTCTCATCGAATTTTGTGAAAAAACTATAAACTATGTATCTACTTGTTTTCATGTCTGCTATACACCTTGAAAAGTTTTGGTCTGCTAGCTAATTAAAGCGATCATAGATTATACAACACAAAACTAGCATAACATATTATTATGCTCACAGTTGATCGATGCTGTCTAGCTAGCTTATATTTGTATACACATTCTTTATTCACACAGAGTATACAAACCGAGAAAGCTTTTCCATTACAGGAAACCCAGAATCTCAAAAATGTCTCCCACTCTCTTCAAATTTTGGAACGGCTCATACTTTCTAGCTAGCCTTTCTTTCTCCCAAGTTATACGGTAAAAGAAGAGGTTAGCTAGGGCGCAATTGCTTTTGCAGGTTAAATTTGCTATGTTTACTAAAATAATCACAACATCAGTATTTTGAGGAAGCAAACATTCAAAAATTTCAAATGCAAATAGGAAGAAAGGATATTCGGTTTGCAAGTTTTGAAAAATATTTAATAAAAATAGAATGAAGCGTATAGAATTATGATAAACATGTATTATTAGGATTATACATGAGAATTTTCTAGGTTTTTAGGATCTTCAAATTTTTAATTAGTTTTGAGTTTTTGATTGTTTTAGTTAATAAATGAACTTTGAATATATTGTTTTGAAAATTTTCTATTTAGTTATTTTTTCAATAGATTTATTGCGATCTCAATGATTTCGAAAGGGCTTGGCGACATTCTTACACTAAACGAGGTCATTGCTTTATCATTGTTTCTGCTAAATAGAAAAGAATATTTTAACTTACAAATGCAAAAACAATTACTATATATTGAGCATCTTTGGTTATAACTTATATCTATTATTCACATGGCTTAGAGTTAAGGGAAAGCTAGCTAGTAAGTAACTGGTGTGACTTTAGAGCATTAATATACTTGTAAAAGTTGTATGCAAGTGTTGTTTTGTCCCTTTCTTTTTCAGAAACAAAAGGGTTTTAATTAGAGTTTTTTCGTACATTACACAGCGTAAGCATCTGAAAAACAGTAAAGACATAAGAGAGAAAGTGATAGTGGGGAATCAATTGCTGATTCACGAGTCTAATACTTTGTGTCTTCATAAGCTACTCCGTACGATTTTATAGGGGTAACATGGGTTGGACTTGGAGAGGGTAAAAAGCAACTTGGTGTTGGCTAGCCAAAGAGAAAAAGGACAACGTTTGATGTTAACTTAATCCAACCTGGATTACTATTTATAACCACAATGTCCTGAATTTGAGAGAGAATATTCCAAAGTAGAAAAACCTACAGGTGGATTTCTTCTATTCGCCTTCTTTCGTAAGCGGAAAGTTAATTATTATGATTTATGCATATACATATATACCTATAATACTTGCAAATCTAAGCTGTGTGTTTTTAAAATAAAAGATCTAAGATGTGTTCAAAATTCGATATTTAGAAAACAGAAAAAAATATACACGATTTATGGTATAAGTGGTTGTTGGCTTTGAACTTAAGAGTGACGTCTATTTTGGTCGCTATTAATTTCATTATGATTAAAATCTGAGTGTTTATATTTTTTGCTTTTTTCGTTCTCCATCAAACGAAATATAATATACTATAAGAATAAGATAAACGAACGAACACCTTTAACTATTCTTAAAATAGCAATATTTATGTACACATTTGCCTTGGAGATTCCACTCTCTCTACAACCCACGGAGAAAGGATTTTACCACTCTCTCCACTGATCTTCACGTCAATGACCGCTAATCAGATCGATCAGTGTCTGGTCAGAATCTTAGCTAGGGACTCTGCATTG